CAGCCAAGACCTAATGCTGCTTGTTGTGCCTTTGAGATTGCTGGTTTATGAACACACTCCCTGCAATGTGACTCTGTGGCCATAGAAATAAATAGGCCCCTTATACCACATTTGAAAAATATCATCCTTTGTCTACCTCCTAAATTGTAGCAGGAATATGTAATGAAGTGCACAGCTTTTCCTTTTTTTTTTTTTTTTTTTTTTTTTCCTAGATCTATATCCTCTAGGGCATTGAACTGAAGTAACTTGTGTCTCAGATCAAAGTCATTTCACTTAGAAACTCAGGTTGAGCTTGAAGGCACAGTCTCTTAAGTGAAGGTCAATGGTTTATCCATTACAGCACCCAACCCCAAATTATTTTTGCAATTAGTAATATTTATATCTGTTTTTATAGTGTAAAAGAATAAAGAAAGGATAGTCAGCATTTTCAAGAAATACAAGTTAAAGGTGTCCTATCATTTAAAATGATATATCATGTTAGAAAGGAAACTTAAAAGCTGGCATATGCAATCTAAAATTAAATACAGATTTTGAATTTCAGGCTGTGAAGCTAAAAAGATCAAAGGAAACTCTTTACAGTTCTTTGGAATTTGGTATTATACTACCCAGGAGGTCATTTACTCCCATAATTTAGTCTGACTTATTTTGGCTTCAGTTCCATTAAAAGTATGTAGCAAAAAGAGGGCCTCTTTTTAGTTTAATTTTTAACTGCAACCTGTCAGTTAAAGGGAAAGAAAAAAAAAGTGTCTGGAAGAGGATGATCTACAGAAGTACTAATAGCTTTCAAATCTTTTTACTTTTTGAGCCTGATATGGTGAGAAACTTATCTGGAAAGATTGTATTTTAACCCTTTTGACTGTTCCTTAATATAATGTGTGTTTTTATTGAAAGGGAACTTATTCACTGCCCTTGAACATACATCTCCCTTGACTGTACTGGCTTGCCTTGTTGGATACAATAACAGGAAAACCACAAGTTTAAGGTTTGAATAGGCATGCATCAAAAGCGAGCCTGTCATCAGTCAGGAAAATATCCAGAAGTTTACCTACTGTCTGGAGAAACCCACAAATGAGCAGGATACCTGTGGTGATGTGAAGGCAGTGGTGATGGGGCTGAACAAACTGAAAAATAGTCTTTCATCACTGTATTTTGGGATCAAGAAATGCAAAAGTAGTTCCAAAAGGATGATAAAAATTTTAAATATGTTCTTTCAGAAAAAATCTGGTATACTCCTGAAGGGTGTTTTTTTTTTGTTTGTTTGTTTGTTTGTTTTTTTTTATCTGTAGCGGTTTGCACATACAAGATCTAAACTGAACAAACCTACAGGCAGTTTGTCTTCTGAGACAGCATTAAGGTTACCTGATGGGAGCAGCTAAGGTGGGCAGGGAGTGTGTTTTCCTGAAACAGGAGGCTATCTTCCAGCACCTCCCCTTTTCTCACGGGGGAATGAATCCCCTTTTCTCACGGGGGAATGAAAGGAGGCAGCCCATCAGTTGAACCTGCCATCTGCAAGAGGTTGGCTTTGGCCAGGCACAAGGCCAGAGGAAAAGAGAAGGGGAATGGGGCAGAGACCCAGTCTGTGGGGGACCTTTCCCTTCTTGACATTCAGGCTTTCAACTGATCCTGGAGAGAGTCCCAGCAAAACCACCCAGGAGATATATGATCTCATTCCCTTGTTAAGATGCATTTGCAGAAGAACTTATGAAGACAATTCAGCCTTAGCAGTTGTATCAGAAATTGAAAGACGTTATATATATATATATATATATATATATATATATATATATATATATATATATATACACATATAACATATACACAGACATATATAAACATATATTATATGTTTATATAATATATAAATATTTTATATAATTTTATATAATGTAAGCATATTTGTTTCTGGTTTTGATCACATAATTACATAATTTAATTAAAAATTATAATATAATTATTTACTCTCTAAATTGTTATGATTTTTTTTTTCCTTCCTTGTAATACAATATGGTAAATAAAGCTACAAAGACAAAAGTAGTCTTGGACCATAAAGAACATAATGGACTGGCCTTGTTTCTGGCATCCGGGAAAACTGGGACTCTTGCTGTTCCATAAGAACAGACTAATGATGATCTAGTGTATATTAATAATTTCCCAGCAAGATACACGCTTGAAAATATCTTCCCATATAATTAATGCTTCTGAAAACACAGCTGTTTCTATCTGACAAAACCAAATGGATTAGAAATGTGTTTTTTTTTTTTTTTTTTTTTTTTTTCCCAGTAAAAGGAGTAGTGGCAGAAGAGAGGTTAATTCTCCTCTTTTCATGCAGGTATCTTCTTAGAAGAGAAGTGATTAAAGGAGTTTCTTTTTTGGCATAAAAGTGTTTTTCTAATCTTGTTGAAGTGCCTAAAATGTGTTTGAAGAACCAGATAAAAGCATGGACTTCTTATTTAATGAGTTATCAGTTATATGTTCCACTGTTTATTTTGCTCTGTCATTGAAACATAGTTTTTTTTAAATGTCTTTTTCTTCACAACAGTCAATAGGTAATAATGATGCAAGACATATAAGATGAATTTCAACATTAAGTAGAAAAGAATAGCTCTCTCCCAAACTTTTACAACTGCACAGACAAAGCCAGAAACAGAGTGATCATTTATAAAATTTTTGAACAAGTTTTTATTTCTGAGGGATACTTGGGACAACATCAGAATCTCTATATAATTTCTTAGCAACTTACCTACTAAACTGAGGGTTTCCAAAAAAAAAGTTAGCCCATTTCTGCCAACTGGGGGAACCAAACTAATTATGCTGATTTACTAATCCTCAATGCTAGAAGGAAGAAAAAAGTCACTACAATCAAGCAAATGTCTAGCTAAAAATATTAATGTTGTACCATGCTGCAAAAGTTCTCTGCTGGTATTAGATCCTTCAGCAGAAATTTAGGTGCAGACCTATGTTGTTTATTGAACTAAAGGCATACATGTGTTAAAGATGTCTCTCTGTTCTTACAAAAGTATCGACTGCTTCTATCATCATAGGATTCCCCGCTATGCTTTACCACTGGGAAAGGAATAGATCCAAAGCAGAGAAAAAAAAGCTGCCTGAGCACATGCAGAACTTCCCTGAACAGCAGTGGCTTTTTGTGCTTCTACCATGCATTTGAAAAACCATTATGACTAAAAAAAATCCAAAAGTAGAGCTAATATATGCGAAATGAAGCTTACCTGTGATCTCCAAGGACCTGGTTGGGACCTGGTGCTCTACTGAGCAGTACACATTCCCTGGAAACATGTGTCTGCAATGTCCTGCTTAAATCTGGACATCTGAATGAGTTGACCTTCATGGAGCACACAATAGCCTCATGGGTAACAATAGCCTTGTGGAAATTTCAACTGCAGAACGGAATTTGCTTGGCTTGGAAATAAATCAGAAAGCATAGACTGTCTGCAAAAGTTCTAATTGTATCTAATCCTCAGAGAAATAGCTAGGCATTACGTTAACTCTGCTATTCTCAGAAATTGAGATTCTCCATGTTAAATATTTCTTTTTTCACTATTGCTCTGTCCTCTTCATCTAAACCTGGCTGCCCTCTCTTCCCCCAGAAATTGCAAGAGTTGGAAGGCGCAGCAGTCCAGCTTCAGTATCCATTGAGATCAAACCTAAAGAAATGGACCCATCTCTATTCAAAATGAATTTCCTTTATACAAAAAACACAAAGGAAACTGAAGCTACATTTCTAAATACTGAAAAGCAAAGAATAAAAGGTGACTTTTCTCTTAAAGTGTTCTATGCCAACGTCATTTAGTGCTTTGGCAAATCCCAGGATATTCTAGGTGGACTAGTTTAGGGTAGCAAGCCATGCACATACCTTTTCATTAGCCCCTTATTTTCAAACAGAGGCCTACAGAAATTTCAGTGTTCTGAACTCTCACAGGGGGGTGGAGCAAACAAAAGATCTTGTTAAAACTGTCCTCCAAAGACTACTTTTTTTTTTTTTTCCTCCCCTTTTTTAATACTCCTCTATGGGAATAGAAACCAGGTTTAGCTGAGTATGTCCACTTTGTGCCAACTTCCAGCAACTTCTTGTATTTGTCAATGGCACCAACCAGCTGTGGTCCTATTTGTCTCTGAGTAGGGTGCATGAAAGGAGACTAAAATACTAGGCAGAATGACTTATGTACATGGATGGATTTCATGAGATCAGGCTCTAGGTGCAATGGCTTCTGCTTCTCCTGTGTAAACCAATGATTAACTATAATTAGTATTTAGTTACACAGAAGCAGTGCTTACACAAGGTTAGTGCCTCACTCTTGTGTTCTGCTTTCTGTCACTCATCTTTGAACCTGGATTTAACATTAGGAGAACCTTGAATATTCTTCTGTCATCCCTAGCAACCCCCACTTTGAACTATAGTTTTTCTGAGCGTCTTTGATAGCTGATTTTCTTTTCCTCTCTTTCCCTTTTTCCTTCTTCATTAAAACACCCTTTAAAATTCTTTAATTTCTCTCTTAGAGACTGGCTTTTTTCTCTTCTTCTTTTCAACCTTTGCTCACCTCCTGAAGTTAAAGGTCTCACGGTGGATATTTTGTCTTTCCAGCCTATAGGTTTTCTCTTCACAACTGTGTATCTCCTTCCTTGTTCTCCAAACTTCCACCACAAACTGCTCAAATAATAATATTTATGTACTTATTGTATTGTATTTTTGAGCTGTGTGCAGATGATAGATAAATTAAAAGCAAATAATAACTTGATATTGGAATTGCAATATAATGCAAGGAGAATGCCATAATTTGAGCAAATCAATAAGGGTTAATGAAACCTAGATCGTTAGACTAACTTGATATCTTTTGATTAAAACTTTAGGATGTTATATGTATGTAGGGAGAAATTATTATGTTAAGTGCTTTGATTTGATATTACAGAACATTTTATTACAAAATACTGAATATTACAAGATCATATTAAATTGATTAAACATGATATTTGTTTCAAAATGTAGTTGCAAGTGGTGGGTTATCCACTGAATATGCTTGTTTCTAGCGCTGAGTATGCTTGTTTCTAGTGTGCTCTTAGTCTTACCGTATTTGGTATCTTAATTCATGGTGTGGAAGAAAACAGTTACAAGTTCTAGAAAAAAAAAAACAAAAAACAAAACTGTGAGTAGAGCATGTACATAAAATATTAAGGAATAATGAAAACTTATTAGGCTTTTTTGAGCATAATCAAGTAGGGCACAATCAAGTTGCATTTCAGTGAAGGTAAGATCATACAGAGAAGTAAAACAAAGAATGTGTGTGGACATTTCAAGAAGAGTGCACTTATCCCTGAAAACAATTACACTAAAAGAATCGGCATGAAGGTGAAGCATGGTTTGTAACTTTTGTGTAAATTTTGAGTGTGAACCTGAAGCCAAAAGGTGCCATCTTACCTCTGCTGAAGAAAAATAGGTCTATAAGCAGTGATTTCTATTGCCTCTATGGTGCACAGTCACATCTCCTGAAATAGCTTCTTATTCCAGAAAGAGCTGTAGAACAACAAGGGTCAGAGAAAAAATAGGAGTATAATTAAAGGCCAAATAATTTGCTGTATATTGAGAAACTCAGAGAGCACTGTATCAATTCATCAAAGTAAAAAACAAGGGCTGATTTAATTGCAGTCTTTAAGTATGTATATGAAACAGAGATGTGATAATACATGCTTCTTCAGTTTGATTAATAAAAACACAACAATATTCAGTGAATCCAAAGCAGCATGTAAAATCTTGATCTGAAAAATAATCATAAAGAAGGTTAAAAAGGTATATATTTTTTGTCCTAGTGAGGAGTGTTAAACATTGAATCAATTTAAGCAGAACTGTGGTAGTTTTTACATGACTAAAAATTTAAACATTGGAGATGGATTTTTTTTTCCCTGAAAGAAAGTAAAGGCTGAGCAAGACACAAATGAAGGAAATACTATGGTATATAGGAGGTCAGACAAGATGTTTAGATGTTCCCTTCTGTTTTCACATCCTAAGAATCTAAGCAGGTACTTGTTCAAAGAATGCATAATCTTTTCTTCCATGTGATTACTCATATACTTTAAATTGAACAGGTGTTTAAGTGCCTTGCTGGATCAGGGCCAAGTAGAGCTAGTCTGGTAGCACGCCATTTCAGTGCCCCTTCTGCAGCTGTGGCAGGACAGGACTTAGTGCTGGTTACACATTGCACCAAGTTACTGGCTTAGAAAACAATGTAGATTAAATGGTACAACTAGGACTAATTTTTCAAGGAATGGAGTACTGGGATGAAATGTGGTACTAATACATAATACGTAATTACATCTATGTGGCTCAGCTGATTCATGGAAGGTTTCTGGAGTCCTGTCTTCGGTGTACTGCTATAAAGGCACCATCTTTGCAGGTAGATGCTACGATACAATAGGAGTTAATCTTCAAACAATTTGTATACAGAGCATAAGGCTGTTCTAATCACTATCATAACTGATGCAGCTACAGTAGTATTAAATGGTTGTGTACACAAGCTCTTCATAACATACATTAGTGATTGTGGCTTTCTTCCTTTTGTTAGCTTTCTCAATCCCTACTCTATGTAAAAACTAGTTTAATGATCTGATTTATGTGTACAGATGTAAGATTATGTCTGGGCAAAGGATGCCTGAGCATTGTACACAATTAATCTGTCTGATGTGTAGCATAAATAAAGTTCTAAAAGGAAGAGCTGGATGGAAAGGATCTGCTAAAAGACATAATCTTATTGCACCAAGTTATTGACTTTTATCTGACAACTTTTGTGCTGCTTATCTTTCTCCCCTTACACTCATCATTGCTACTGTCTGGTAAATGCTTTCCTTTTTTCATATCTCTACAGATTACTCCATTTATCTACTATTGTTCTGCCAGTATGTTAATGGAGAAGAGCTGGCCTCCATATCCAGCAGCTTATTTACTACAGCTTATTTGATTAGAGGTTCTCTAAATATAGTGTACATACAATAGTACATAAGACACCTCAAAGTGGTATGTTAGTATTGTGTGAGGAGCTAAATTTTCTTCTGTCATCATGGTTTCTACTGACAGCAGTAGTTAAGTGAAGTATGTTTGGAAGTTACGTTTGGAACTTTTATATGTCTTTTGGGGAAGTGCTGATTTCAGTCAAAATTAAGATGACAAATACTGTAAAGTATGGCTTGGCCAAAATGTAAATCTCATATGAAATGATTTTAATGTACATAATTTAAGTGGTACTGCTTGATACCTCAGGATAACTCCAGCAAACAGCATGAGGTTTGTTGAACTTCTGTTAACTGCCTAGGTTGTATTCTGTGCCTGCTGCTGCTTCAGATGAAATAGTGTAGTTGGAGACACAAAGACCACAAAGTCTCCAAAGTGGGTGGGAAAATACTTGGTGAGCATTTAGGCTATGTTTCTCACAAGGCGTCTCATGCAGAGCCTCTCAGCAAATTCAGGGTGCTGTTCTGGTTTGAAGGGAGGTTTGCTACCATATACTGCTCTCTAACAATGCTGCCCTTATACGACTCTTCAGAGGGCAGCATGCACAGTGCAGTCTTATTCAGCATCCTCTTGGGCTGGAGGCTCAGGGCTGAAAGAGCAGCAATTGCTCTACCTCTTTAAAGTGCCCATCTCTCTCAAATGCTATGTCAAACAAACCTTGACAGTACACAGAGACTGTTTTTTTTTTCAAAATGGGTACACAGTCCTGTGCATCCCCCACTCTTAAGAAAATAGCTATAAAAATCTATGGGTTTTGTTTTTTGTATCTAAAAGATCTCAAACTTTTTCTTGGTAGGTCTGTATGTACAGTGCAATTACGCATGCATTAAGCACTAAATGAAAACAAAAGGCATTTAATGTTAATTATAGTAGAAAGTCACCATATTGTGATCATACACAGCTCTACTACTACTGCCCAGCTAGATATCCCACTTTCATGTGAACAACAGAACCAAATTGAATTACATAAAAAGAAGCTACATACTGACTCCCAGCAGTATGTTTTGACAAAACACTTTGTCTACTTAAATGATTTCAGATGCTGTAGTCAAAAGCCTTGACTGCAAATAATGGGTTCATAAAACCTATCTTTAAAATTTTACCTGACAGTAATGCTGTGCAAATATCTGCACTTCTAGTTCACCTTCTCCACTTGTTTACATCAGGATTTTAATAGAGTGGCTGTCACAGAACAACAGCTAAAGGCCATTGTTTGATAAGTTGTTGTAAAAATAGACTGTTTAAAATGAGAATTTCCTTCTTAAATTCAGCCATCACAAAAAGGTGGTGGTTAGGAAAATATTGAAGAGAGACAATTTCTAGACTGCAATAAAATCCTTTCAAGTTCAGTGACATTCTAACAGGCAATGACTTTGTAAAAAACTACATTTCCCATCTGTCTTCAGTGTTGCTCAGAAGTGACAAAAATACAAGGAAAACAGATGAACAGAAGAAAAGTCGAGATAGACAGATGGGTAGACAGACAGACATTTCTATTTTCATATTGGCTCACTTATTCTCCATAGTATATAGTTGAAGAACAAACTGACAACTTCTTAACTACCTGAAGAAAGAAATGAAATTCAGGAAAGCCACCAAACTTTAAATGTAGAGCAAAAATCTAAATGAAGAACTTCTGTTAGTCAGACCTACCTGAGAGCTGCTGGCTTTCCCCATGCAGAGTGGCTGAGCAGAAGGTAGCTGGATGATGATGGCCCTACATGACCTCCAAGTATGCACATCCAAGGCTCAACTCACAAGAAGTCACCCTACACAGCAGCAAGTCTATACTGAATTGCTCTCATCGTACAAGGTGTGGGGTGTGGGGAGGGAGTGTATTTTAGCCTCACTTCTTTCCCAAGGAGAAGGCATGATTTGGAGGGAGGATTACTTTATAATAGCAAGAAGAGTGTGCAGGCACTGCTGTGCTCTTCTGTCATGAGGCAGAATTGTACATTTCTGAGTTTTCACAAAAAGAGAGCGACTCCCCATCATTTCGAATAGCTGGTTAAGTGGCATAGCTGAATCCTATCTGAATTCAATATCATGCAGAGTAAGATTTCTATGGAGCTACTTGTAAAGGGGAATTTCAGAGCCAGAAAGGAGGGAAGATTTATGCAGATTGGTTTAATCTGTTTAGTTTGGTTTAATCTAAGTTTATTTTTATGCCAAATGAGTTATTGCTCTCTGTTGGAGAGAGAGAAAAATCTCAGTAGATTTTTCTTAACCAAAAGTCTTAGAAGCATAATTAAAAATACTGTCATATTAAATATATACAACATTCTTCCTTGGATTTTACCAGAGCTTGAGGTATTTCTGACTACTTTGTAGCTATGAAGTTTAAAGTAGTTGTAGGTAACTTGCTTTTGGGGGGGAGCGCGGGGGTTATTTCAGCATTCCCTGATTTACTGCTGTGTAAATTCTGAGATAAAGCTTTCACCTCTAATGAGGCTTTTGCCTTGTGCAACTCAAGGGAGAAAGGCACAAAAGCTGGAATCTGAGTAGGTATGAGGCCACTAAAGCCTGTTCTGCTAGCCCCTACTTCTGTTCACCCATATATCTCTGACTCCTCTTCCAGTATTACAGAAGAATTTCTTTTCCACTTATTCAGGGCTCATTTTATGAATCAGTCATACTCACCATTGATCAGAATACCTCTTCCAGATGAGAGAGTTGGGCTTACCCTCAGGCCTAATACAGCAAATGTCCTGTATAGCGCTCCAGAGCTACAACACTAATAGCAGTAACAGCAGGACTTCACTAGAAATCTCTGGAGGTCCCACTGAAATCAGAGCTTTAATGAGCACATACAAATCTATGCCAGAGCGTAGTGCCCCCTCAACAAAAAATACGTTGACCTAGAGCCTGCACAGGTGGGACCACGGAGGAAGAAAACAGTATTTTCCATTCTGCTAAATCCTTTGGAAAAATGATCGTGATTATTTAATGATTTTTATAACACATTAAGAGGCCTCATCATGCAGAGGGAGCTATGAAACAGGTTTAGTAGGACTAAGGTTAGTAAAATTAGGCAAAAATCTACTGTTAGTTCTAACAAGTCAATATATAAAACTGCAAAGGCTTTGAATGCTTATTTATGTGATGAACAATAGCAATAGCTTCATATCTCAGAGTCTGTCGATTCCCTCCTTGTGTTGTCTCTGAACCCCATGTAGTTGTTAGTGCAGGGAGTTGGAGCCATGCCTGATGCTTTCAGAAGTACTGCCCTCACAAGACGAAGGCACCGAAGCAGTGTGAATACTCATGAAACATGTGTGATGGACTCCATAAAGCTGTATTTCTCTTTTCCTCTATCTCTTCTTCCTCTGGGGTGTGTGCAGAATCATCCCCCCACTCCCTACCCCCAACGAGGAGGTAGATACCTATGCTTGTCCTTTCCCCTTTACCTTATCAATACATACTACTGAGAGCACATAATAACTCTACTTATTTATTGCATTCTAGGAGCTGCTGAAGACATGTATTAGATGCTGTGCTTAGACTGTACCCTCAAAATCCTTTTTAACAGACAATACTAGAATGCCTATAAATTATCAGGATGGTTATTATTAAATAATTTGTACCTGTGCAGTGACTTCCAGCAAAGACTTTAAAATGCTTTGGCATTAAGAGAAGTCTCTCAATGTTTTCTGTGGAAAGAACTATTTCTGGTCAGAACCCTATAGGAAGATATTTCTGCCATTTGGGTTTCTCTTGTCTTGTCTGGTTCAATTCCCAGTCTAGCTTTTTCAAGTCTTTTATTATTATGATTATTACTATTATTACTATTATTACAGTAAAAATACAGAAGTCTGGATTATTATCAAGGCTCTCTCTATTCTACTTGTGACTTTTAATGTCCCAGAGAACAGCATGAGTATAACTTTTTTGCTCGTTTCCTGTCTGTAAGCCATCTTCATGGAAACAGGGATCTTAGCTATAGATCTGAAATATAGATCTGATTTTTCCTTCTCCTTCTTTTTTTTTTTTTTTTTTTTTTTTTTTTTTTCCCGTACTAAAAGTGTTTGTTTAGAAAGAGAGATGGCAAAATACAATGAAACTCAAAGATACTCAAGGAAATAGACTCACCTGATACAGTATGGAAGGGGATTTAACAGTATGGCCCCAAAACCAGTGCTCTGACCATCAGTCAACAGCTTTGCTTCTTATGGTAAGTTCTTTTTAAATCAAGAATACCTGAGAGATGTGCAAGGAAAATTAAGATTGCATATTGATGGAAAAAATGTAAAATACTCTGAAATATAGGAGATAGGGTGATGGAGACTGACCCCAGTCACCTATTATTTGTGTAATTTTAATTACTCTCCCTTTAATTTAAGCAGCTGACACACACTTTCAGTGGTGTTCAGAAAGTTAATAGGGCAGCTGAGTAAGGATTTTAAGGTCATATTCTTGTCCTTTGGTGCTTATTTTATTTATTAGCTGCTGCATTAATATTCTTATGATTACAAAAATGATCATTTATGTATATAATGCATCCTACAATAGTATATACTTATTAATATTTTAATATTTATTTCTGAATAGTTCTTCCCATCCTTGATTCTTTAGTGCTAAACTCACAAAAATACAACAGCATTTATATCAAGCTTCTTCCTTTCTTACATTATTTCTTAATTATGGTATGTAGTCATCAGTTTGCTGACAACAACCTTCCCGTATGTCACTCCTTGATTCCACCCTTCTCAACTGAAATTAAAATATTGACAGAAATCATTTAGCATGAACAGTGGAAATATTCAAAAAGGCATTTAAAGTAGAGGAGCTTCTACATTTATCGCTTCTAAATATGTGCATTTGTTCCTGTTTTTCAGTTACATAAAGAGTTACATGCACAAAACTAGTGTGCCATTTTATGCATGTCTTGCATGTAGATAAGTGATGACATTTAATTGAAGTTACTTTGTAAACCCAAACAAACCACAATTTGCCATATAAAAATAGAGAGAACTTGATATTTCTGGGCCATTATATCTTCAATGGAGGTGGAGGGGAACAGATAGACTACCAGTGTGCATGGTGCTTGGCCTGCTCATTTCTTAAAACTTTCCCCCATTTATCTGCCCACTTATTTATGCATTTCTGTCTTTCTTGGTCAGTAAAGCGCAGGAAGGGAAGACAAACGCAGATCATGGAACTGGCTAAAGACCTACCTGCAAGTTAAAGCGGTAGCTTTCAAAAATATAGGTGTTCCAAGCACTTGTTTAGTGAGTTGCAGAATACACAGGGTCTCTTGATGCAGGAAGAGATGTTGGTGGTGTGGACATGGTGCTGTGCTGGGATGGCCCAGCTGAACCCATTGCAGCAGGGACAGAGTTCAAATGACATTTGTCTTGGGAGGTTTCTGGAGAGGAAGTGGCCATGCTCCTGTGCCCTCTTCTGTTGCTGGAGATGCCCTGTCTCTCCCAGGGGCTTCCCTCTGAGCATTTCCTATCTTCCACCGCTCCAATTGGTGTGTGACTTGTGAAGGAAAAAATCCCCACTCCCACCCCTCAGGCTTTGGACAATGCTATGCCTCTTACTCCTGAGCTTTGAAATGAGCTGAAGGCAATGGGTGTGCTAATGAGGTGCATCAGCAAAATTGACACTGGACTGCTAAAATATTTCTCATAATTCCTTGTGTGTTTTCATGATTATTTTTTTCTTCCTACATGGGCACTTTTTATTGTTTTGGTGTTTAGAGGTTAGCTTATGATGGACCTTGAACATCCCTTAGGCTTTGCAAAAAAGAATGTGTATCAACAGCATATGTGTGATATAGTGACACATGTCAGTAAGTATTCTCTGTTTTAAATTCATTGCAGTTAATCAATCTCATAATGTTAACAAATCTTTTTACATATCATCCTGAAATGTCTATTCAACTTAAACAGCAAGGTTTAGACATTGAGCAATTGGTATTGACATCATGGTCAGCATTAGGATCTGAAGAATATAGAGATATGAGAGGGAGTCTTTTTTCCTATTATCAATAAATGTTGTAAATCCTAAATTAGACAATATTGCAGTAATATAAAGACATGGCACTTAAAAGAAGGCATAAAAAAAAATCAAGAGCAGGAAGAAGATGGTCCGCAAAGAGTCAAAACTTCTTAGCACTTCACAGGGTCTTCACATGTGGTCAAGGCAAATTTCAAATACACTGTATTGTCATTGTTCTATATTTAGTTGTGCAACTGCTAGAAAATTCAATCTTCACTCTATCATACAAATAGATAGGCTTGTGGAAACACTTGTCATTTTAATCCCAGCATGCTAATGCCCCCTGTGTGAATATAGATTTCTCAATTAAACTAAAGTAATTTGATGAAAGAACAAGTCTCACAGGTCCAAGTAAAGGTTTCAGTAACAATAGCCTCAGATATTTATTATTGAAGTGTTTTCCACTGCATGGTGCATTGCTGTGGCTTAAAGTTGTACATGGATTCTTTGCATAGATGCACCCCAAAAAATGCATGTTCCAGTGGGAAACCCATGAAATAGTCTGCAATGTCACTATGCTGCTGAAAGCACATTTAAACATCCCCCATAGAGTTAAATTTCTGAGATCCCTTGGAGCTAACTATTGCAGTGATATGGAGCCCTGATGCTTTTTCTGGGATCTTCTTTGATGTAGGCCTATGCCAACTTGTTTCTAAGAGAGATCCAGACCCACATTCTATTTTAAGGGCTAAGACAAAATGTGTGTCTCCAGCCAAAGAACAGGAATCATAAATAGGTGAAATGACCTCACATTAATACAACCCATGTAGCCTTATCTACTTAGAGTGTTTTATATTTTTAACTACTGGATATTTATAAAAAGTCACCATCCCTATTGGCATTTGACAAAGGACATAGTTAAATGGACCTGGCATTTTCTTATTCATGTTGTTGAGCTACTTGAATTAAGGTTCAGGCATCATATGATACTGTGTGTTTTATGGATATAAGAGACCTAATTCCTTTGTAGGCACCAAGATCTAACATTTCTACCAAATAAGTTTGACTTCATTCCTTTTTATAAATAGAAAAATATATTTTCCAAGTATTCAGTGATGACATTAATTTTAGTGCTTTGTCTCACACAGGATTGTGCCTTATTACACATCATTACAGATGTGCTTTCCAGAATGCATGAGAATTTTATTTTAATTACATTTTTGTCTGAATTGTGCCACATTATTTTCTCCCTTTCTTTAGTTTGTTCATTTTTAGGCCATAAATATTATTAACCCACAGAGATTTGTTTCTGCTTTCTTTAGTTAATTAAAGACACTGTTGGATTTATCTTGTGCTACCACCAGGAGGGCACAATAAGTGAAATATTGTATTACTAGATGGTTCATTCATTAGCATAAAATAATCAGTACTTTTGAATACTAGCACTTCAATGTATCAAGTTTGGGTTTTTGTGATCTCATCTAGGAAGCAACAGCAGCAGTAGAGGGATAAAGAAGAAGACTGAGAGAGGGAAAGGAAAGAAAGAGTCAGCAACACAGCTGTTAAAATTAGCAGGATTCCTTAAGAAAAAAACACTGGGCATTTGACAAAAAGGAGAGTGCACAAATGAAGCTCACCTGGGAGCATGTCTAACCGGCACCTAGAACACAACATGAGAGTAAGCTAAATTCTCTACTCTGCTACTAACAGAGATTGAATAATTACAAAATCATTCATTCTAACACATGATGTCTCCCTTTTGGGGAAAACAAACAAACAAACAAACATATGGTCATAACAAATATTTCTACCGATACCATCTAGTATATATATGTATATCTAGTATATATATGTATCATCTAGTATATATATATATATATATATATAATGTAATGTTATTTTTCCAAAAGGAACGATGTCCCAGGATAGCATACATAAATATAGAGACACATGCAAATATTTAATGCACGTTGTATCTACTTGGCGATAGCTTATCACTGAATATCAGAGAATACCTGTTTCTCCAGAAGCTATTCTTTGTCTTTCTCACTCCCTGGTGAAACGGTTTGGGTCATCTGTAGAGAGAGACTGCATGCTTAGGCACTATCTCGGGCCTCCTTCAAAACCCTTTTCCCTAGGTATTTCTCCACCTTCTTTCTGAGCTTTTCATGAGTGTATGAAAAATTAATAGGACTCAGCTGTATTGCCTTTTCTCCCTAATTTCATCACAGTGTAGGAAGGTGAAGCAATGATATAATAGGGGAGGCTGAGGTTCCATTCCCAAAATGAGGAAATCCACTTACGCAGAGGCCCCCTTTGTGTACAGATATAGGTGGTGTGACCTGTTTCTGGGAGATTTTCTTCCATTTTGGGGAGAGACACCAGTAATTCATTCTTTCTTTCTGAGGAATAAAATAAGAACCCAGACACATTGATTATTAATCATTCATCTGGGGACTCTCCTCCCTCTTGACCAATGACATAATCTTCAGTGAACAATATGTATACTGTAATTGACATTTGCACACAAAAAAAAATCAGGTTATATTGTATGCATCTGCACTAATAAAAATAGTCATCTTTCAAATCCTCCTTTTCAAAGTCTCACTGAACAGACTTCGATATCTATATAGCATTTATTTTGACCTTCGCCTCTCTGATCTTGCTGCACTGGGGAACTGTACAGCAATACAATATAATGGAAGCATACTTTATTAAAATACACATTTGGGCTGCAATCTTCAGGAAGCTCCAGTCAGGTGCACAGGAAGCATTGTATCCATTTGGAGGTTCAGCCTCTTCAGGCTTCACATAAAATTCCATCTATATATGTCATTCTGAGAGTCACTTGCATAATTATCTTCTGAACAGCACTGTTGATGAGTTGTGTAATTACAGTAACTCAACAGGTCATTCCAAATTGAGCCTATGTTTCTGCTTAAGATCCCTATTTTTGATATCACAGATAATTTAATGCTATATATCTGTTATGGTAACCAAGAGTTCTAGACAAAGATCAGTCACTCCTACTTGAAGATGAGTCACTATTTTAGCATGTCCTACTTCCAGAAGAATTATACATTTTTCTTTGCTTTGTTTTGCTTTACTTTGAGAGAACAAGGAAGTATACTGGTTGCTGCTGCAATCGTATAAACTCTGTTCTCTTCAATAAAAGACACCCAGATGCATATGAACCTTTGAATAAGTAGAAAAAAAAAAAGTGTTCATTATTGTTAGATTGTTTTATGCAGAGA